GTCGCAATTGGGGAGGCTCTGCGCTGGTATGGCGAGCATGTGGTGTCCGTGGGTAGTGTTAGAATCTTCACGGACAGCCAGGCCGCAATAAGGGCGCTGGAGTCGGACACCTCTATGTCCAGAACGGTCCTAACGAGACGGCGAGGCAGTTCGAGTTAGACTTGGTTTAAGTTCCCGGACACAGTGAAGTCTCAGGGAATTGCAAGGCGAATGAGTTGCGAGACATGGAACGACCCTTGGAATTCTATCTGAAAAGGAGAACCTGGGGATGCCTCTAAGCACTCACAGGCTGCTGCTGCGCAGTGCAGCGGTGGAACGCACCAATCTCACATGGGCGAATGGAACTACGTGTAACGCGCCAAGGAAGTTGTGGCCAAAGCTAGACTTGCGTCGCACAAGGGATCTAGTATCTCTCCGACGGGAGGATATTAGTGTAATAAGGGTTTTAACTGGACACTGTCTAATAGGCGATAATGCCAGGAGGATGGGCCGCCCTGCAAACGATCTCTGTAGGAGCTGCTGTGACGAAGAGGAGGAGGAAACGGTGACCCAACTCGTGTCCGGCGTTGGAGAACTCCAGGCGGAGGTTTCTTGGGTCCCACTTTTCTGGGCGGGCTACGGACCTAGTGAATGTAAATGATAGGGATCTTGGCCGGTTTCTGAGGAACTCGGGCTGGTTCTAATGAGGGAGAAAGGGAAATAATTGAATTTGAATTAATTTTCCTTGAGTATTATTGCTCGTATAGAGTTTAGTACAAAATTTAAATGTAATAAAATATATACATGCAAACTACATTAGTACAGAAGCTCAGCACAAAAAATAAAAGAAGTACAAAGTTAAGAAAAAAGAAAAATAATAAGAAATCGAAAAGAAAATTTAATAAAATCAGTTAACATTACTAAGCTACACTGCACTCAACAGAAATTTTTTAAGTTCACCAGATAATCCATTATAGTAATTATATGCAAGATTGTATATCGTATCTCGGTAATTAAATCAGCTATCTGAAACTTCCAGTTGAGATCATTATCAAAAAATATTATTCCAAAATATTTTTAAGACTCAACATTTTTAATGCTAAAATTGTTGTAATTTCCTTGTATATTAGTTTTTAACTTTCCTGTAAATATAATTTTCGGATTATTTATGCGTTTCTATCCATTGTTGTATTATTTTCATATCATAATTTGTTGCTGTTTCTACATTCTCAAAAGAGGAGTTACTATAAACTATTGTAAAATCATCAGCACACATAAAAGGTCTTCCTAATAATTGCAGGTTAAAGAAGTCACTTACATAACATGACCTAGCAAGCTGTCTTGTATAACTCCATATGTTATGCTTTTAGTTTTACATTTGATGTTTTTACAAATTGTAAATTGACGTCTGTTAGACGAATAACTTTTGATCCCCTCTTATTCTGCATTCGCATAAAATTCGCAATAAGATGTTTCTATCAATTAAACCGAACGCGTTACTTATGTCTTAGGTCAAAAAATACGGTAATAAAGTTTTTGTCAATCAATTAATCAGTTTACTAAAAACATTAGAAATCGATATAGGCCTGAAGTTGTTCATGTCGTTTGTGTTCGGTAGACCGATTATAAAGTGTAGTAAATATAGTAGCGTTCAGTAAACCGCTACTTTATAATTGTTATTATAATATTTAATTAAATATATTATTATATTGTTTTAATAACGTTGAATAATACTTCAATTTATTAACAAAATAATCGAGATAATAAAACCAAAACTGGTGCTGTGTTGCTCAACTATTGCATAATGCACTGTGACGTCTTTGCTCTGACGGAAACACAGTTTTCTTTTTGTTAACAACCTAGAGTTATTTGGTTCAGCTTTTTCAGTATTTAGAAGGAGCCGTTATAGTAACGTGCTTCCCAGGGAGGTAGGGTACTTGTTGCAGTTAAAATCTCATTATCCGATAATTGGGAGGTTGCGGTTAAAATCGAATTAACTTCTAATAAACTTGAGTTGGTGAATTGTCATATACCACCAGATTCTAATCCAGAGGAATTTTTCCTTAAATTTGGAAGGAAGGCTTCTTTATACCGATTCATAAGAAGGGTAAAAAGACTTGGTAAACTACCGTCTTGTTGTTAGCCTTTCGGCAATTTCAAAAGTTTTTGAACTAATGATATATGATGGAATTTACTACCATTGTATTCGGTTTATCAGTAGTTGTCAGTACGGTTTCTGAAAAAGAAACCAACAGTGACTAATCTGGTGAAAACTGACCCTGTTTTTTTAAATAATATGGAGACGAGTGTTATTTATACTGATTTGCAAAGCCTTTGATATTTTACCCCACAATAATTTTGTAAGTTAGGTTGGCTTATCTTTCTGGACGCTTGTAACAAGTTGTAGAGTTTCCAGGGCAACCACCTGGTAATGCTTGAAAACATTATTACTATTAATACTATTATCATCGCTCTTAATGAATTGAAAATATCAAGAAAATTCGTGATCGCTCTACAGCAGAGCTTCCCAAACTTTTTTCTCTGGCAGACCCCTTGTCGTGTTTTTCAATTTTTGATCCCTCTGTTACTTTCTTTCATAGATCTTACCAGGAGCAAGGTACACCCATGATGTGAAAACTTATTTAATTATTCATATTTTTTTATTAAATTTATTAAATTTAAATAATTTAGTTACTAAATTCAAATAATTTAATTATAAAATTTAAATAAAAGTAAAGTAATTCTTATATCAGCCAAACTAAACAAAAAATAAATTCAATCTTATACATGTCACTTGTCTTTTCAGTCAATATTATCACATATTTATTTTTCATTTCGTAGACCACCATTTTCATTTGATAGACCTACAATTTTTTTCCCTTATCTTGATAACCTTTACAGATGGTGCACTAGTAACAACTTGAAAATCAACATTTGTAAGTGTGCGTTAATGTGTGATTCCAAACTGACAAAGCCAATAATTTCAGATTATACATTAAATGGTCAAATTGCGTTGTTTCAATTAATTACCTGGGGGTTTGCTTTGAAAGCAAGCTGTCATTCGCCAATCACTACAAATATGTGACTCGCAAGGCAAGCTCTTAGTTGGGATTTCTTAAACGCCGGTCAAAGGAGTTAACTGACCCCTATATTTTGAAGTCTCTGTATTCGTCTTTGGTTAATCTCCAATATGCCTCACAACTGTGATAGCTTTTTACAATATTCATATTAATAAGTCGATTCAAAAGAATTTTTTAAGATTTGCGCATGTATTGCGTATTCTTGCATGAATATCTATTATGAAAAAAAAATACAAAAAACTAAACTTAATAACTATATAAAATGAACTGATAATTTACTTGGCATCAGATTTTCAGTGTCAGATGCTCGCAGCACTCTGGTTTCGGAAAACGGGGTTACAGAGTTCAAGTGGTGTATGCAAAGATAAATATGCTCTTTTAATATTAATATTTCGTTAAGAATGTACATAGCAAAATGAAATAAGCCGTACATTCGTCATAACATTCATAGACAATGCCAGATTTTAAGTTTTATTCTAATATGTTACAAATTAATTTTATTTTTATTTCACACCACGAAAAATTTTATTAATTTTATTGTTTATAAGAATCCGACAATTATTTGCTCATGAAACAAATCATTCTTAAAATGACCATATATAAAAAGAGATGGATATAAATTTATACCAATTTCCATTATCACAAATTAAAATAATATATTTAAAATTAAAAATAAATCAGTTTTTTTCAAAGTTATGATAATGGAATTTGACTAGTTAGAAACATCTCAAAATTTTCATCTGCTATTAAATATTATAGACAATCGCTATTAAATATGCTATTAAGTATGGTTTAGATTTAAGAAACCAAAGATCGGAAAAACCTTCTAGTGCTTACTGAATATAGAAATTACCGAGTACTTATAGTTATTAAAACTAATTACTATTTACAGAAAACTTCAGGTAGAAATGTTTGAAATAGAACTTTTCGTTTCAAGCCTATGTAAATATTGTAATAATTATAAAAACATACCGTGTAAAGTCTTTTCGAGATCTACAAACCTTAGCAGAAACCTTTTTGGGAGTTTAAAATTCCCAAAACCTGTTCCATGAAGAACAGTAAAAGCAGATATGAAATATAAAAAACTCTATAGCCTCCATTTTCAATTTAAAAACTCTATAGGCTCTTGAAAAATCGCAATATAGAGAAATAGTATAGGTAATTATTTAATATATGTAGTTATCGCATATTATAACGTATATTACTTACATAAATATCAAAGTAGAAACTAAATTTTTATTTTTACTCAAACATTCAATTTCAAAATTTTTTGCAGCCAGTGGATATCTGTGACACAGAATTGGACACACGACTGTTTCATGAATTTCACTTAATTATTTTCCAAATATTTAAAATTTGTTTTTAGAGTCGTATGGCAAACTCGAACCAGTGGAGCCATTCCATTAAAATTCAGAGTATATTTAAAATGTAATTGGACACACCCATATAGAAATTTATGATAATATCTCTATTAGTTTTTGAAATATTTAAAGTTCAAGAAGATATAATATATTAAATTTAGCTTCAAAATGAAAACTTGGAATATGAAAACTTTTTAAAATATAAAACCGGGAGCTTCGAAATGGTCGGTATTAAGAGGTTCACATATGCATATGTAGACAATAAATACTACTTAGTAGTTCTAATGCTAATTTAAATGCAGAATACAGTAATATTTGCACTTTTTAACGAATTCAACTACAAAACAACAGTGGATGTAGTATGTTGAATAATTTTTCTTTTATGATAGTAATCAAATATACCAACACTCATGGAGTTTTTTAAAAATGCAGAGAATTTGAAAGTGAAGGTGTTTGAAAGAAAGATACTGTAAAGATGTAAAGGATTTGATAATCCTATAAACTACTTCAAAGTTTTTCTTTTGTTAAATATCATCCTTAAGTACTATTTATTACAAAAAAATATTATTTCGAAACGTACCAAAGAAATCTTCCCATCTTTCCGAATCATCCGAGTCTGTATCCATTGCAGCAAAAGTTTTATAAATTATTTTGAAAAATTATCGTGTGTTTTTAAAGTAAACGTTTGTTTTAGTTGACCTTAAAAAAATCTGGTACTTGATTACTTATCATCTTTTAAAAAGTCGATAAATTTAATATCCAATTGCATCGTTTAAAAGCAAAAAAACTTATTATATGTACATACAAGTATATATGAGTGGTGAATTGAGAAGTGTTATGTTTTCCATATAAAATAAATTCCAAGTAAAATAAATTGCGTTCATTATTTATTCTACACTTTAAATGTAAAAACTTAATTCCTTATTTTTGATTTGTAAGTGTAAATGACAAAATAGTTACATTATAATTGAGTATAACTGTTATTGTTGTCATTACCTTTAATTTTTTTGTCTATCTATGTGGTCTATAGCATTGTAATCTATGTGGTCGCATAGCATTACAGGTTATGTTGATCTAAATAATATCTTTGAAGTTCTGAAACGCTTTTTTGTATTTTTTTACGTTCTGTGCATTGTATATACGTTATAACGAATACATACATACAATTATAAGTGTGAATTATTTGTATATTTTATATGTATGAACTTCAAAAAAGAAACTCTCTGATAATTTTGTGCAAATATAATATATCAAATAAAAAAAAATTAATAGCCAACACACTACACACTTTATTATTTGCTGCAAAAAATTGGTTTTTCGAACTTAAACATTCCTGATATTTTGCTATTACAAAACTACTTTATATTTTGCTGTAGGATATTTTTATCCATACACTTGTAGCAAAGAAAGTAGCATGTTATGATACGTAGCAAATTACGTGAGTAATGTTTAATTGCTGTATATACTTATGAATGTGCATATTTATATAATTATAGCTGCACGCTGACATAATTTTTATAATTATTTTAAAATCAAAATGCAAACTTTTCTTTTATACCAACAATTTTCGTATATGTATGTATTTTATTAAGAAAATTACACTCAAAACTTAAAAGAACATTTTCGTAAAATTTATTAAACATCAACCTATATTTCAAAAAATTTAAACAAATTTTGAAAACTTTAATATCAAATATTAAACAATTATAATTACAAAATATGTTTTCATTATTTTTTCATTTCATTTGATTAAGTTTGCACAATTTTCAATTTCAAAACAATCTTGAATTTTAATATTCAAAACATCACAATATTTTTCTCAATTTACATTTCTTAATATGACTCATAAATTGTAGCTCTCTCCACTTCAAATAAAAAAAAAATTTTTTTAACTCAACCATATTTTAATTTATTTTAAATAAATTTTAATGTTTCTTTCAAATACATTTCTTTTTCTTTTTAATGCTTTTAAAAACACATTGCAAGCAAAATTAACTTAATGCATTTCAAATATGTATGTATTATAAATTATCAAAATTTTTCATTGACAAAAATTATAAAGTACTTTTGTACGTAGTAGGAGCAAATGACCTATTTGCGCATACAAGAAAATAAAACACAAAAAAAAACCTTTATAAATCCAAAATACTTTTTATGATCGCTACAAACCGCAACTAAATAGCTTACATCTAAAAACCAACTAATATGCTCAACACCTTATTTAAGTATATATGTATCTTAAAATATTTTATCTATCATGCATCTGCAACAATTTTATTATTTTTTTAGTTGCCGTTGTTAGCTTCAACAGTTCAACTTACATTCGCAAGATACCTAATACTACAAAAAACTACAAAAAATCTTTTGGTTTAATAAATGAATTATATGGTTAAAATACATATGTATACATTGTAGTTTTTATCAGAATATTTAACAATTATATAGTGCTGCCAGAATTAACAACTTCAGCCCATAACAGAATTTAACAGAATTTTGTTCTAAATTTTTCAAATATTAAAGTATTAGTATGTACATAATATGTAGAATTACAAAATAACATTAATACTTTTTGAGAGTATAATTTTGTCATTACTTTTAGCTATACATTCTGAGCAATATTAAAATAATTGTCTTGTTCTTGGATTTTTAAATTGTTTAGTTGTTTTTCTTATTTGTATTTCATTTAGTATTTATGCTTTGCTGTGAAAGCTTGAAAAATACTACCTTATGACAGTATGCTAAATTAAATTCATTTTAAACTGTTGGCAAAATTTTCCAATTTTTCTAGCTATGCTTTACATTAAATTTTGATAAGAGTTTGATGCCGCATAAAAGACGAACTTGTCAAAAGCTTTAAACCTTTTTGCTGCAGAATACATTTTATTTTAAAAAGTTTTACTTTAGAAAGTTTGGCTTTCATTCAATTTAATTGAATTGGCTGGTATCATATATGTTGGATCGTTGATACAATTTTTCTTTTAGAGCCTGCATCTCAAGTGCGTTCTTTGCTAATTCCATGGCTCTTTAGAATTGCGCTTGGGTCCATTGTTGTTTATTATAGTGGAAAATAAAGTTGTTCCTATGAGCGAAATTATGAATTATCATAATATGAAAACTTTTAAAATAATTCGTTAGCCCGAGGTTCTCATTAAAGATGACCATTTCTTTTTCTAACCTGGTATAACTATAAAACTTGCTTCTTAATATTACAAAATGTGCATGTGTTAGTTACAAGAACCAATCTGTTACTTTCATTGCTTGTTATTTTATTAACAAGAAATTCATAAACAAAGTTAATTATTTTCCAGATTTGAATTCCATCTTCGAAGAAAAATCGACTTTTAGATCTCATTATAGTTGAATTTAACAAGCCAATTCAACGCTTGGTTTTTTCAAAAATTCAAACGCTTACCAAGTTTAGCTGCGCAGCTATTTATTATACATATATAAGAAGAATTGAAATGGTCATTTATGCAAACGTATATTAATGCAAAATACAAGCACAAATCCAAATATTTTTGTTAGAAAAATACATCACCACATACTTATAACAAATGTGTTGTAATTCAAAAATTTTGAAAGCATAATAGCTATTCAGTTCATAATGATTTGATTTTCAAAATATTTTTTTGTCAACAGAACACTAGCTATGTTTTTTTTAGAGTACTGCGTTAATATTTACACATTTTATAATAGTATGCACACAATTACACATAAAAGATAACCTTTTTTTATGACCAAAATAAATTTTTTAAAAATCGAAAAGATTTCTCATTAAAAATATGTAACTAACAAAATAATTAAAGTTGGCTGACAGAAATTCAAGCATGTACCCTAAGAGATAGTGACAGTTCACAGCTGACGAATTTACACCTGCTTTTATATGATATATAGAGGGCCCTTTTTAACATCATAAATCTCCCACAAGATCAACTTTTTTTAAAATTTTAATTGGGAAAAGTTAAAATTTAAACTTCTTCTACTTCACTAGTGTTTACATTTTTAAAGTGTAGCGTTAAGAAACAATTAAAAATTGAACATTAAAACATTCCAGACGCTGTTCATTTTTTTAAGATTTCAATAAATGCTACACTGCAAGAAAAACAAAATTGTGTAAATTTTTTTCTCGAAGTATTAAAATGTTTTGTGTGTACTTTTTTAAATTTGAGAAAATTTACATTTGATATCAACAAGTTTGCTAATTATGTATGATATGTCTCACACAATGCAAACTTTTTATATAATCACATACTGTTTTAAACATAATGTTCGAATTCAAGGGTTGATTGAGTCATTTATTGTTAACTTTCATTCATAGAAATTTGAAAAAACTTTCAGTTTCGGAAATATGTGCTGCCAAAAATTCGACTTTTACAAATTTGAAGAAGCGAAAACTTGTAAGCGGGTGGCGTTGGAAAAAAATTTTTATTAGTATCTAAAAGCTACAAAAGTTTCAAACTTCTACAAACCTGTTTTATAGAAGAAAATTAAATTAAAAACTTGAAAAGGAACTGGCTTTAGGTAACGGTTAATTATAGCAGATATTTCTTTTGAATATTAAGTTCTGCCAGCCGCAAACTTTTTTGCATTTGAATGTTTATGGTTTCTTTGAAATGGCTCTTTGAGGATTTATAACTCTTAAAGGAAGAGGGGAGATAGCTAAAACTTTTCAACGGAAGTAAGTTTCTAATAAAGACCCATTTATTTATTACGAATTTTCAGCTTTTTTTGTTCAAAGGTGAAGAAGTTTTGCAAACGGGTACACGGACAGAGGGAATCTATAAGCACTTTTTTTCAAAATTTTTGAAGAGTCCTAAAAAAAAGAAATAGAAATAATTGAAAGACAAAATGATCAACATCATTAGCATCAAATTCATCAACATCATTTTTAAAATTACAGTAAAACCTGTCATAGGCGGAATCGTTAGGGTACTTTTTCAAATTTGAGAAAATTTACATTTGATATTAACAAATCGTTAGGGTTATACAGGTTATGTGGAAAAATGAAAATATTCTCTTATTACCGACTTTCACAGCACACTGGTACTGTTTCTGTAAAATATTGCAAAATAAAATAATAAAATAATACATATTTGAAATATTTACGTACATTTTGTATGGTATATGTTTACACATTCATTTTGAACTAAAATAAAACTAAAATACGTATATCTATAATACGTATCTAAAATATAAAACGTACACTACTGTAATTAAAAATTTTCCGTGACTTCAATAATGTTGCAAAAAAGATATAAGTACGGTATTAATACGGTTGTAGTACCTTCTCAGAATTTTCAATACCTTTACATTGTAAAAAAAACAACTAAAGCTTTTCGTAAATTTTGGAATACAATTTTTACAATATTTTTACGTACTTTGACGTTTGTTTGAAAAGTTCAATTTAAAGTTCTGGGCAAATGTTAATTTTTAACAAACATTACCAAGTCATTAAAAACATTGCATTTTTATGCTGCATTTTAGAAAAGAAACTTAATAGCTAGCAAAATGCTAATTTATTTAATTGGTTATTTATGGCAACATTTATATGACAAGGTATAACAAAAGTGTGTTCTTAATTTTACGTTTCCACTACGTATAAAACGCGTTCACGAAAAGTATACAATGTCAAGAGCTTTTACTAAACTTTTTGGAATTTGATACTTTGTAAAATTTACATCGTAAGCGCATTATTGAAGTAACGGTGTAATTTTAAAATATGTTACAAAAAAATATTAATTTCGGCATAGCCAGTTTAAAAGTATATAAATAATACCTTAAATTTTGCGTTAAATTATTACGGCTTCCGTGTTTGACAGTTTTTCCGCCCTTTCAGTATTAAAATTTTTTACAGGGCCTTTAGTTTTTAGAATTCTTTCGGCAATAACAGGTTTTCGCCATTGACAGTTTTCGTCTTTCACAGTTTTTAATGTATTTAAATATTTTTTTTAAATCCTCAAAATATTAAAATTTCATTTTTTTTTACGATTTGTTTTTATTGTTTTTATGTGTATTTTGTGCTCAAAAGAAAAAGTCCATTTTTAATTTTCAGTTTCTAAAAAATTGGATTTTGGTGTACATAGCGACATCTAACCAAAAAATGTTTCAATTCAGAATTTTACCTATTTCTGGTAGCAACATCTAACAGAAAAATTGTTTCAATTTAGTATCTCTTTCTTAGTGTACGCGCAATTCATTCGATTATCATTCATTTTCTCAAAAATTGATCAACATTGTTGTT